ATCTATCTATCTATCTATCTATCTATCTATCTATCTATCTATCTATCACTGTCCACCTTGAATACATATTGGAAAGGGAAGCTTGATATTTTATGGAACAAAACTGTTACTAAATCTGGATGCTCTGCTTTGGATACCATGAAGCCTCCTCCCAGAAGGTAACAAGAAAAACAGGTTGTGAAGAGGATGTGTGGTGTCCCAGACTCTGCAGACCCTGGTTAAGCATCACGTATATGCTATGTCCTGGATAGATGGAAGTGAACTGCCAATAATCTTCTCTGCCTCCCTCTCATCACTCTCTGCATGGCCTTCCTGTCCGAAGCAGTAATGCTTCCAAATCAGAGTGTAATGCAATGTGACAGGATGCTCTCGATCATCCCTCTATAGAAAGTGGTAAGGATAGGTGAAGAAAAATGTACTTTTCTCATGCAACACAGAAAATGCACGTGCTGCTGCGCCCGCTTCACCAGTGTCTCGCTGTTGGCTGACAAAGCCAGACTACTCATTAGCTGCACACCCAGAAACTTGATGCTGTTAACCATCTCCACAGATAAATTATTAATACACAGATGTGTGTGGCTGTGCCTGCCTTTTCTAAAATTGACAATGATCTCTAGTTTTTCCAATGTTTAAAACAAGGCTGCTTTTATTACACCAGTTCACCAAACCCTCTACCTCCTTGTGGTAAAGCATCCTCATTGTTGTCCTGAATAAGGCCCACTACTGTTGTATCATCCACATACTTCACATATAGTAGCATACTAGCACAACAGTCATGGGTCAACAGGGTGAACAACAGCAAACTTAGGACACAGCCCTGAGGAGAACCTGTGCTCAAGAAAATATTGTTAGAAATATTAGACCCAACTTGCACCTACTGGGGCCTCTTAATAGGAAAATCAAGAATCCGGTTGCACAAAGGAGTATTAAAGCTGAGACGACCCAGTTGGTCTACTAGATGCTGAGGGACGATTTGATTAAATGCCAAACTGAACTAGACAAACAGCATTTGCAGCATCTTTCCTCTAATGGCTCCAAGCTCAGATGGAAAACAGAAGAAATAGCATCCTCTGTGGAGCAATTTGGATGGTAAGCAAACTGAAGCGAGTCAAATGCTGGAGGGAGGCTAGATACAATAATTTTTCCTTTATCACCTCTCAAAACATTTCATAATGATGGATGTAAATTCAACCGGACGGCAATCACTGAGACCCATAATTGTAGACTTTTTTGGCACTGGCAAAATAATGGCTGTCTTAAAACATGATGGGATCACTGCCTGCTGCAAAGAAAGATTGAAGCAGGTTCCTTCTCAGGTTCTTTCTGTGATGGTTAAGCAATTAGGGTTCCTGCCCATCTTCTCTCATTGTTTCCTAGACATGTTGCATTGCATTACAAAATGGGACTAGATATTCTACACACCTATTGCCATTTTTGTCTCAGTTTGCTCCTTGTCAAGGCCTGGCAACATACATGGAGAGTTCACAGTAACACGCATGCAGTAATGGTATCTTGAGAGCAAGGATAAGCAAACATTCCTGAGGCTCTCAAGATTAGCATCAATAGGTCCAGCTTCCCTCAAGAAACAATGGCTTTTGTGAATCACTCACTTCATTCTTTCCTACCTACCTAGTGTTTCTTACACAGTAAGAATCAGGGTTTAGCCAGCAACTGGCTGACATAATCAGAGGTGTGATGGGAAATAAAGATTGAGACGGACTGCAGTCAGCCCCTGCTGAGTTGCCTGTGGTCTGCCTTGCACAAACCTCTGTGTATGGCAGCCACAGTTGCTGGTGAGACATCAGGAAATCTATTTTCTAGACCCTGGTTACAAAACCCTGAAGTCCAGCATTGCCCAACAGATATTAGTAGACATGAAAGCCTACACCAGTAAACCTTTGACAGTCTTTGAAAAAACAATCTAAGCATTCTTTGACAATTAACCAAGAATACTAGAAAAGCTAAGATTAAAACAGAATATACTTTTTTACAAAATCCAACCTTAATTACAACCACTGGCAAAGACAGCTGCAACTAATGTACTAATTTGAGAACTAATTTATGCCACCTTGGCCATTCTGTATGGATTCACGCAATCCATCTTTTTCCTCATTTATCACCAAACCATTTTCTGAATGATATCAATTAATTTCAACAAAGGATCCAGTAGAAATAAGATTGAATGGGAATGGGAAAAAATCCATATCCCTTATGTTATGTTATATTTGAATGAAAAGGTCTAAGAGTCACCAGTAATATTAAATATTTTTTGTATTCATAGCCAGTTTCTTCATAATCTAGCAGAACTGTGTGCATTCATTGAAACAAAAACCAAAGCTTGCTATTTGCATCTTTATCTTAATATTATGAGACAGAAACAAAATAAAACTGTGACAGCTCACTAATATCAAACACATATACAAAAAGGAAATAGGATTTTACTTGTTTTTTGTTAGTTTTAAATGATGAATTGTAAACCACCATCCTTTTAAACATCTCTTGAGGCTGAAAAGAAAGAAAATCAACTCACTGAATCATCAGCTAGTTCATTAGATATTCATCACTCCACTCCTTCATGCGCACATGCATTTAAATGTCTTTCAGTTTTACATATTCTATTCATCTATTCAAAGTTAATTGGAATTACTGGGAAAAACAATCCTGTAGGATGTACATGGTTTTCAGAACTGTGGACAGCAAATAAATGATGGTCACAAATGCCTGCTCCTCTGGATTATTCCAGTTTTTCTTGGGAAAAGCCCTAGAAAAGAAAGGTAAGAAGCCGGGTAACAGCCATTAACGTTTAACTGAATTTTTCCTCTACCTGAGAACCATTCATATCAGGTTGTCCTGCAAGAAGAATCTCTTAAAGGAAGAAGTAAAAAATAAGCTCGACTCAAAGGGATAGATACGCTTGGACAACCCTTTGCAGTTTTCTTGGCCATCTTTTCAGAAATGGTTTGCCATTGCCTGGGTCTGAGAGAAAATGATTTGATCAAAGTTACTCAGGGAGCTTCCATACAGTCTTTTGCCTTCTAATCCAGCACCTTTAGCCACTACATCAAATTTCCACACACTCCCAAATTAAGTACCTTCTTGAGGCACTTCTTGAAATTACGGTATATTTTTACCATCCAATCAAAATTTGCCTAAAGTTGCTATCACATAATTTATTCTAATGCACATCTATTTCTTACAAAAGCACAAGCATTTTAATTATAAGGTCATTTTCAGAAGACAGAAGCCTCCCAACCCTATGGCTCGGTTAATGAAAGTTTTAACGACTTTGAAGATTTCTGAACACCTATCTAATGATTCAGTGTTAATCTTCTGTGTCTCAATAGAACATATATTGGCATAATGTGTATGAGGTACAAACTAAAAAATAACATTGGCCAAAGCTGTTGCTGACAGCATATACACTAGCTAAAAAAAATTGTCCCATTAAAAACAATTATATTATTTGGAAATATTTCACAATGGTTTATTGAAAATAAATTGTAGCTGTGTTTTCAGAAGCTCATTTGGAATAACTGAATGCATTTGTCATTTTATGCCTTGCATAAAATAGGCTAGAGTTTCATTTCATTAATGTGAGACTATAATATAGTCTTAGAGCAAATTCAATTTCTTACAGCAGGTTTATCCTTATCAGTTCATTTCGTAACATGAGTCTGGAGCCTGCTATGGCCAGGAAATAATATAAGAACTTTAGATTCAGAATCCCCTGGCAATGGTAAAGAAGTGAGGCTGGATAACAATCTCTCAGCAGATGTGTTAGAATAGTAACTTAAGTTGCTAAGTTAAATGTGCTGATGAAGTTATACCTAAATTGAAACAGTAGCTCATTTTCCTGCTTTAAGCTATTTGAAGAGCTGTAAGTAAAATGGGGGGGGGATTTAAATTGCAGATTAAGCTCTTTTGATACTGTTTTCATCAGCAAAAATATTAAAGAGGTTAAGATGTGCTATTCTGAGAAAACAAAAGATCTCTAATAATCTGACTGAATTTATTACTGACTTATTATTACTCTCATTCTCTGGAGCCTCTGCTTTGACCAGCATAAAGAGTCTAAGTCTAGCTAATATGTTCCATTTATCCAGATCCCCTGAAGCATTTAGGAAATTAAAACAATGGCCATCAGTCACCTAATGCAGGGGTGTCAAACTTGCGGCCCACGGACCGGATGCATCATGTGCTGGCCACGCTGACCACGATTTTAGCAAAGGGGGGGAAAGTTGCGATAAGTCACGTGACGATGTGTCACCCTTGAGAGTTTAACACCCTTGACCTAATGGGTTTCCTGTGGAAAGTCTCAGCTAAAGGTCAGGTAAGCTCACAAGGGCTGACCAGCAAAGGAATAGGCCCAGGATCTAGTACATTATTCAAGAACTTATGAAATTTGTAACAGCAATAGCAATAGCTCTTAGACTTATATACCATTTCACAGTGCCTTACAGCTCTCTACTAGATTATTATTGAAATTTTCATAATAAAAATATATTTTTAAGAAAATATACATTTACATTCCCAATTTACATTCCCAATTTAGTTTTTAGCTTTTCATCCTAATTTTCTCAAGTCTTCTCTCTAATATTTCCAAGCCCAGGAGGAAAAATATCATCATCTTATGAAATTAAGTTTAGGAGGACAAAAAACAGCTGGCATCAATGAAAGACTGTTTCCTCCAAGCTTGTTGTGTTTATCAAAGAACTGTGAAAGGCAGCAGGTGAAGAACAGATGGTGTATTTTTTCCTCCCCAGTTATGTTCCTTAGAAGCAATCTACTACAAAGCTAAACCTAGAAGAACGCTTCCATTGACCTCAATCAATATCTGAAAACTGGAAAATAAATTCAGAATTTATTGCTCCATCATGGAGCCTCCATGAGGCCAGATCTAGTAATATCCGTCTTGACAAAGCAAAATATTTCTGATTACAACTGGCAATTGAAGAATGCAAACCAAATATTAGCCAACTATAGTAACCTTGAGAGGATATTTCATTAATTATTGAAAGCATTCAAATTACTTAGCTGTGCTGTTAATTATAACTGAATGAACTGAATAAAAACAATCTGAAAGTCTACACTTAAACTACAATCTGATAAATTGGGTGATAATGCTCATTTTTGTAAATTAAAATGACATAATGAGAAGTAATTTTAGTGGGGAACTTTGGTCAATTAATGCTTATTTTTTAGGCAGCTGTAGTTGCATATTGGTTTTATGCTAGATTAAATTCTTAAAATGTTGGTTCATTTTAAATATGTTTTCAAATATTTTGCTTTAGAAACAATTTCATGGAAATTGAATTTCTCTTTAATTCAATTTTTAAATTAGTCTACACAGATGAAAATAAGATCCCTATTTCATTACAAAAGGTATGGTAATTTGTCTTTTCAGCCCTGGAAACAGAAGCCAAAAGATAATATACTTAGTGCTACATCACGAGGATAATTGCCTTTTTTTTTTAGTTTACTGGTAGGATAGCCTTAAATCAGGGGTGTCAAACTCACATCGTCATGGTGGCATCATGTGACATATCGGGACTTTTCCCCCCTTCGCTAAACCGGGCATGGGTGTGGCCAGTGCGTGACTCATCCAGTCCGTGGGTTGGGAATTTGACCAGTCTTAAACGGCATAAAAATGATCCTTCAGCTGTTTATGGAAAGAACAAGAAATGGTCTAATTGATAAATATAAAAAACCTTTCATTCTATTTTTATTTTCTATTTTATTTCTACATTATATTTTATTTTCATTCTACTTTTCTGCTTGCCTAATTCCACATGGATATTAATACTTAATGCTAAATTTTACAAAATAGAAAGCTTAGCTTATTCAGTTTGTATTCTAACTAAAACTCCAAATGTATATGGTATCTTTTATTCTTATTATACTATTTTTCCAAGAAAACTGGAGAGAATTGTACGGATATGATTGAATGGAAAAAAATTCTCATTATTAGTTTTGCTTTTTAAACTTCCGTTTTATAAACTATTTTGCTTGTAGTAATCACAGGGGAGATGATAGGAAGTGATCTCATATTATGTGTTAGTGGACACATTGAAGTTTTGTTGTTAAAGATTTTGTGATGATTGGGTGGTAGAAGAGACAATAAAAGATGGCAACATTGGGCACCTTGGGTGGTAACAGGAGGAGAGACCTCAAGAATTTGGAAAGGCCAGGTGGAAGGCCAGGTCTGCCAGAGTCCTTGATTCCAAGCTTAGAATCTAAGAATGCCATTAATTTCATGGCTACAACAGGCTGGTAAGTGAACCTTTTAAAAAACCAATTTGTTTAGTTATTTACCGTATTTTTAGGAGTATAAGATGCACCAGAGTATAAGACGCAGCTTAGTTTTTGGGGAGGAAAATGGGGGGGGGGGAAATCTGCCTACCAGGTATTCATCTTGCTAGCATTCTTAGACTGATGAGCTTCAGCACATTAATTTGCTGGTTTTTATCCACTGCTTGAGGATAAAAACAGATTCTAAAGCACAACTGATCTTTCGAGAGAGAAGCAATGAGAAAAGCAGGCAAACCATGGAGATTGCTTCACTGGGTAGCGCCTTGTTAGGGCTGAAAAAAAAACTTCACAGTTGAGAGTTGGAGGGAGCAGGCAAAGCGCTTCACTGCTAGCATGTTAGGGCTGAAAAAAGCTTCACAGCTGAGAGTCGGAGGGAGCAGGCAAAGCAGGGAAGCTGAGATCGCTTCACTCGCTAGCACCTAGTTAGGGCTGAAAAAAAAGCTTTGAAAAAGCTATGTTTGGAGTATAAGACGCACCCAAATTTTCAGCCTCTTTTAGGAGGGAAAAAGGTGTGTCTTATACTCCAAAAAATACGGTAATGAAAATCCATTTGTCCCCTTGTTCCTATGCTAAACAAGTGTCTGTTCTGTAGCTTCACCCTACCCAGTTGCATTACTTTATAGACTTAAAGAATTTCTAAACCTTTTAAATGATTTAATATAGACTACAGAGCAAAAGGATAGTAAAACAAAACAACCACAAGGAGATTATGCAACAAATTCAACCAAATGCTCTTTGTGCAAAAGAAAGTGTTTAACATATTTTAATTTTTAAATATCTCTGAATTATTCAGTGTACATTCAAGCTAGAATCACAGCAAGCAAGCTTGACAGTGATAGCAGGACAGCTGGTCTCCTATACATTTAAAGCATGCATATATCAAAGCAGAATATATCAGCACAGACTTACCAGAGCTTCTGATTTGGTTGTTGGTCTGACTACAATATTGTGGTCAGGATGCAGCATAATTGGTTTGGATACTATAGGTACATCTGGATGACGCTGGGCAGGGGTGCCTGGAGTAAATTGCTACAGGGGTTCCAATGTCAGAATGTTACAGAAAGGATATGTATATTTTATGCAGACCAAACACTCTTTCTGGGTCCTACTAGATGACACACTTAATAAGATGCACTGTCCAATCTCACCGGACGTGGATCCATCAAATAAGTAGATCCTATGCCATAACCAGTGGTGGGATTCAAAAATTTTTACTACTGGTTCTGTGGGCGTGGTTTGGTGGGCGTGGCTTGGTGAGTGTGGCAGGGAAAGGATACTGTAAAATCTCCATTCCCACCCCACTCCAAGGGAAGGATACTGTAAAATCTCCATTCCCTCCCCACCCACTAACCCGCTTTCCAGCTCCATTTTCCTGTGCAGGGCAACAAAAGAAGACCCAGCCAATCAGCTGGGACTCAGGAGGCGGTGAATAGATCAGGGGTGGGGCCAGCCAGAGGTAGTATTTGCCAGTTCTCTGAACTACTCAAAATTTCCGCAACTGGTTCTTCAGAACCGGTCAGAACCGGCTGAATACCACCTTTGGCCACAGGTATAACCAGCATCTGGAACTGTCCTCGAAAGCTAGTAATCAGTGCTGTTTGCTTTGGGTTTGGCAATACAGTACTTTCTTTTCTACCCTCTAAATCACATCTGCCAATAAACAACACTGCTCACTGGTCACCCTGACTCTTGGACTACACTTAAGACATTACCTAGCTCTTCAGTAATGTATAGACAAAATAGTAATACAATTTATAAAAATGCTTCCATGCAGCATAGCGGGGGAAAAATGATGACATGACATGACAAAGTAATTAAAATGTACTTATGGAAAGTTATAAAAATGAGAAATACTTCAGAACAGTATCATATAAGGTAAAAGACTCAGTGGAAAATATTTTCATATCTTGATAACGTGAATCAGCAGCAACAGCAGAGAGTTGTGAGTGCCACAAAATATATATTCTATATCATACCTTTGGACTGGAAAGGTAGGTCTGCTTGCTGCTTTGTGCATTAACTGGACTAATCTTTCTTTCTTTGTAATTTTTCGCTTCCCAGTCATCCAGGGAATCTTCTGCCCCGCCAGGCTGAAAATTGTGGCAGCCAGTTTTTACATCCAAATGAGTGGACATTGGATGATGGAGAGTGCCAACAGTCTGCATGGAAGGATGAATGGGTGGTGGAGATGGTGGCGGCAAAGGAGGTGGTGGAACATGTGCCCAAGGAGATGGAGAGGACAATGGAATCCATGAAGGTGAATTAGGTATTGGCACTGATCCCTTAGTAGCTGGAATATTTGGTGGAGAAAGCGGGTAAGCTACTGAGGCTACAGACACTGTATGGGGTAATGGAGGCAGAGGTGCTGGGTGTTTTGAAAGCTTGCCAGTATCATTTAAGTTGATATCATCAAGGTCAGTGGTATGGAGCTGCAAGCCGCCAGCAAACCTTCGCACAGATGTAGCAGAAGCAGAAACAGCAGGACGTACACTTGTTTTCTAGTATGACAGATTTGTTTCAATGCAGCACTCGCTTAAAATGGCTGAATGCAACCCCACTAACAATAACTAGGCTCAAAAACCCAAATGCTGTCAATTCCTATAAAACAATCCTTATTATGGGAGGCATTTTGTCTAGTTGTTCTACACCAATAAATAAGAATTTGTATTAAAGGAAACCGTTATGTATAAGACAGCGCCGATAGTCCAAGAAACTTTTTAACAAGCCAAGGCAAACAAAGGTGGCAAAATGGAAAAAAAGTTGGAGCTCCCCAGGGGGTAAGCAGCCTCCCTTAATCTACCCTGAGGACAAAGCTGGGCTCTGCTTTCTTGTCAGCTAAGAGTTACCTTGTCCACCACCACCCACCATCCTGGTAGGCATACAAGGTACAAAATGGATAGCCACATGCATCCCATGAACCACAAATTTGAGACCTTTGATCTAGGTCATTCCCAACAACATGATGTGGGTCTTTACTGAATTAAGATGGATTTCCACATAAGATCTGAAACATTTTTTTCATTATAATAGCCTGATAAAACAAGTGATTTACTACAGATCATACTGCAAGCTACATCTTAAAAAACAATTTGTAAGATTACAAAACAAGTATTTTGCTGGGTGGGTGAGAATCTTATTTTACCTCAGGAGAATCATTCTCCACCGAGGAGATTTGTTCTAAACGTGTTTGACAGAGCTTTTCCACCCAATGCTGAGTCTTTTCTGATTCTTCTAAATCTTCTCGTTCAGTCTCAGACACCTGAGAGTTGTAGCGTAATTTTAGAAGAAAATTTAAGAGTTTACATTTATAGATTTATATTCAAAGGCACACTATAAATATATTTTGGCAATAAAATGTGTGCAGATCTAAATATTTTTGTATTTCATCTACTGCGATCTCAGCAAATTCCTGAGCACATCTTCACCTCATATTAAAATTGGCTGATTGTTAGATTCCAATTGATACATTTATCTCAACAAGGCTTGCTGAAATAAATGGGGTTATATCTAAGAGTTGCACAGTCAATTTCTTACCATTCAGTGATTTACAACTGAATGTCTGTAAAAATCTGGCACTTTCTGGAACTCTTCCAGTCTCATGTCATTAATAAGTAGTCACTTGGGGCAGATTGGAATACAGTAGAAAACCCAAATATATGACAGATACCTGGTTGCTTGATATAAGCAGCTGTTCAAATAAATCACTATTTTAGAGGTGATATTAAAGTGCTCTGTCTATATCACACATATAAAACATCCTTTGATAACATTTATCAAATATTGATCATATATATGATTATGGTCTCAACTGACCATTCTACTCATTCCTGTGGTAAGCAAAAAGAGACACTCCAACGTATTTCATATTCCAAGTAACAAACACAAGAACAACTGTCATCCAATTCTCCAAACATTTATTCCTAGGGACCATAAACGTATGACTACTTATGTCTGCCAACCATTTATTCTTCCTGTTTGGTGAGAATTACATATGGAAAAAGCAATATTCATTTTGAAATTTGTAAGGAAGTCACAGGGGAATCCATTTTCAGAATAGAATATATATAGGGGTCATATTCACACAATATGGCTGACATATTTAATGAGCTATCCATTAAATTAACTGTCTTGGGTTCATTCATACACTGCACTAATGAATGGCTGCTTGGAGGAAGGCCAGGAGACTGTCACTACATGTTTCTTGGCTGAACAAACCAAAAGCTCTGGAATGGTGCAATCACATTTGGTGGCATCATGTCAGATGGACGGACTTGCTATTCTATTCTTTGTACCTCTTTTTATCCCAAATAACAACATGTGTGTGAAAACTGAAATGGTAATAGTGAGTTCCTATAGCAGCCCTGATTTTCGCTAAGTCTCTCCTTTATTCAGATGAACAAAGGATGACTGCTGGAAAGAGGGAAAAGCTTGCTGATTTTCTTATATTATTCGAACATCTGGAAAGAGAGAGTTTTACTCCCTGTTGTCATGGAATCTCTCCACTTTAAACTGTCTTTTGATATACAACACCAAAAAAATTATAGCATGGTATTCAACACATCTGCTCATATGTATGGAAAGATTTGTTGGTCTTCCAATGAATCTAAATGCCAAATCAAATACATTTCAGAACCACGTTATTTTAATCATCTAACTAAGGAACTAGTTCACCTTTACATAGATAGTTTGAATTGTACTGTGACATTATGTTATAATCTACAGCTTTTAACTCATGTTCTCCATGCTTTGATAGCTAAGTCAGGTTAGTTAATATTCAACCTCAATAATGCATTTAAGTATTGACATGTTCAAATATAAGTCCATATCTAAATATCCAGGAGCATACATGTTTTTTACTCTTTTCATACAAGAAACAAAGGTATACAGATCACAAAGAACATACCTCTTGAACCAATCGGCTGATTTTCAACTGTTTTTCTCTTTCCAACTTCTCTTCTTTTTCCTTGAGAAGTTTTAGTTCAAACTCCAGTTGCATTTTGCTTTTCTTCTGTTCACTAAGACTGTCACTTTTTGCTTTTTTTCTTTCTTTCCCTTTCTGGATTGTTGTTATATTAATATTAATTATACATGTATACTACTAATGTGCTAGAATTTCTCCTAGATAACTGTGACACAATCATCCAGTTATTAAAGCAGCAAGACATAAAAACCAGCCTCATAATGAGTAAGATGGGCATGAAGTCATCAGGTTTTGAGAGAAATTTAGAGACAACAAGGTTCATGCATGCTTGTTATAAATTTCCCACTACACTGATCTGAAAAAAATATCCCCAAAATCTAGAGTTTTGCATGCTTTTAAAGAATAGGTCCTCATATAAGTAATGGAACCATTTTGTCAGGCAATATAATGCATAATGCCCAAATGATAAAGCCACAAATTGCACAAAGATCAAAACCAAAACTAAACAACACAACACAACAAAACCCTTCAATGGATAACAAGTTACTTATTTGGAATTTCACTGAACTGCTTAAATCTCTCTGTTTGATAACCTTAATATGGGTTAATTGAAGCCATTGTTTTTAATGGACTTAACCGAATTAGCTTTCTGGAAAGCAATGTCTGTTATCTTAAAGAGAATTTTTTTTTTTTTTTTTTTTGCAGAAATAAGCCACTTACAGTCAGATGACTGAAATGGCATAAACCAATAGGGTTTACTTCCAAATAAGAGTATTTGCATTATTTACAAAACTGCACACAAGGGAGAATGTATTTGTGTAGATATAAAGTATACTAGATAGTAGGATAGTGGATTTTTATTCACACAGAGTTCTCCAGCCTGCCTTCCTTTAACATCTCCTTGCATTATTAAAAACCTATTCTTGAGGAACAAGGTTCTGCTAATTAATGTGGGAGAAAGAAAGGAAAGGCACTGTTATGGGATAATTTGCTCAATTTGGGATAGGCAAGGACTGGAATGCTTTTCTACACAACAGGTTTGGTTATAAATCAGTATAACACATGCAGACCCTTCCTTTCTTTCATGCTTATCAAGATAACCCTAACTTCAGGAAAATGCACATGGGTTCAAATGCGATGATCACAGCAAACTTTTCAAAATGTTCGACATTTTTCTACCTTGCGAATAGTAGGAAATTTTCCCTCATACCGATAGAACCATCCAAAAGCTATATGTATGCAAAGGAGAACAATGCATTATAGATACTGTATTTATATCAGCAGATCACAACATATAGCCCACATAAAAGGATGACAATTATAGCAATGGAAATATACATTTTTATCTTAACTTTGAAACAGCTATAAATAATAGGCAGAAGTCTTTTCTTCAGATTATAAAAGTTCAAGCCACTTCACTTTCATAATCACTTTGTACACAAGTAACTTTCATTTTTATTCACTTTCATGACTGTTTGATACAAGCGCTTTAATCCAAGTATTATAACTTAATTTTTCAGAAGCATACTACATGATATTCTCTAACTAAAAGCTTTACTACTTATATTGATACAGAGTATCTGTTTGGAGTTGCTATTAGCTGGTGTGCACAGAAATCATACCTACTGGAACTCAGTTCCCAACAATGTACAAAATACTAATTTGGAAAATTAAAAGAAATATGATCTCAGAATAGGATGATAATCCAACATATTTTTTTCTATCAATAGCAGGAAAAATTCAGCTGTTATTTTTCCACACAAAATTACATTGAATATTTATTTGTTTTTTTAATGGATAAATACTGGATAATTGCTGATATGGAAAAGAATTACTATTTATCCTAAAGGTATATTAAGCTTATTGGTATTTTGCCAGTTGTATATCGGCTCAATACAATAATGCTATTTTTTCAAGCTTTAAATGGTACTTATACAATATAAAGCATGGGTGTAATTTAGTAAGACATCTCCATTTGTTCAAATATCTTCCATCCCTTTAAAGACCACATTATATATCTTCAGTTCTAGATGTTCAGCTTATAATTAAATTACAGTTTCATACTTGGCTAGTCACCTGGATATTAAAAAATGGCTGGTATTTATTCCTTGGATACCAGGTCCAAGATCAAACTTGTTAATTAAGAAGACGATATATTTAATGTTTGTTTCTTGCCCAGAAATCTTTTTGATAGCACTCAAAACCTCACTTTTAAGTGGAATTAGTTGAAGAAAATCTTTCATTTTTGCTAGTTCTTCCTAGCTTTTGTAGGTCTTTTCTATTATGATTTACAGTAATTGTTAAAGGAGATTAAGCAGAAGGATACAAACAAAAGGCATGTCTTAGTTTTCTAATGACAGAAATCACTTGATTTGAACTATTCCTTTATCTCAGCTCTGTTTTCAGTGGTAATAAGACAGAACATACAAAGATCTCATGCAGGGCCATTTCATGTTTTCTTCTTTGGTTGAAAAATCATACGAAGCTATATTGGCTAGCACAGCAAATAAATATTAATGCTTTCCTTAATGTGAGAATTACAGGAAATCACAGAGTGTAGTGTAGTCCAATTTTAAGAGTGATTGTCAGCAAGAGGGACAGTGCAGGCAGTAAGAAAGTCAAGAGAACTCAAGGTGCTACAGCAAACCTGTTGGCTTTCCTTCAGCTTCAATCCAGTTGTATCATTTGATGTAGACTGATCAAATGCAGTTTCCTCTAAATCTACTTGAGAAAGAAAGGAAGAAAGAAATAAAGGAAGAAGAAATGACAATTCTTTGCCAGGAGGATGGTTCTCATGAAAGAATTAAAATCAAAAAGTCTGTGAAGAAAGTAGGCACATCTAGGAATAAGATGAGTTCTGTCTTCTTTCATGTTTTAGTTCTATAAACTGATGCTCTGTTGTGGGGTGCCATGCAGTGCCATTATAAATTGATCAGAAATGCCAACCATTTATGTGTCCCAAGAATCATACAATAGCAGTTAAAATGAGTCTATGTACTTAGATCCAGAAATTATTTCCTATTGAAAAGCAAAAGAAGGAGCAGTCATTCTTCCTTACTTTATTGTATTTTTCCCCCCCTCAGGAAAAGCCTTCAGAATGCACAGCATTTAATCAAAGTAACAGAGAGTGAGACAGAAGAAAAATCAATAACTGCCCTAGAGATTCACTTCCACAGCTGAAATCTCTGGCTTCTCCCCATGCTTACAGTTTGAGAAATGCACTGTGCTGGAATTAATGAAACATATTTCTTACACATAAGAATACAACTTCTTACTTACATCGATGTTTAGGACGAGGTGGAGAATGTACTTCTGCAATTACAGTTTTGGCAGCCTTTAGTGGTTCTTTATGACCCCAGTCTTCCTCCCACTGCTTTTTGAACTTCTCTTCCTCTGCCTTTATCCTGGAAAAGAGGAAAATATTGCTCCTTTAGAGAGTGTAGGGTGAAAGGACATGATAGAGCCACCTGAGTCTAGACTTAAACTAAACGTAGTCTAGACTTAGATATCAGTCAATCTCTGGACAAGAAACCAAACGGAAGCATTCCTTGTTTTATTGTAAACTTTCAGAATTGTAAACTTAGAAAGTTGGTAATTAAAAACATTAACAACTCAATCACTATATAAAGCAACTGTTCTGAGCTTCATGACAGAAGAAAGTTGTGCTATAAACATACCAAGCAAGGCTGATTTTATTTACTTTGTTATTTCTCACTTATAGCCAACAAATATGTCAAAAGCATATCAAAATAAATTACATAACGCAGCTAAAATTAAACATCCCCAATCCTTCTGATTTCAGAATAGGCTGTTTAAGTAGGTACTTAACTTTTCAGTTCAAAAGCTTTAACTGTGGCTAGATCTATGATAGAAAATACCAACTTGACTTAGTTGCTTGGCCTTTGGCTAGTTTTTGGTCAGAACAAGAAAGTGAATCTGCAATTATGTTTTTTTAAAAATAACTTATATTGTTATGCTATTTAGTGTTTATATATTTCTATACTGCTTCCCATAGAAATGCATCCCAAAGTAATTTATCAATAAAGGAGAATATTTGTAGTTTAGGGTTGAAATGAGGGGTTCCTGGTGCTCTCTGAGCTTAGTTGTTTTCTTGCAGATGTTTCATTACTCAAAGTAGGTAACATCTTCAGTGCTCGTCATCATCACTAGCACTAATGACATTACCTAGTTTGAGCAATGAAATGTCTGCAAAAAAACAACCAAGTTCGGATAGCACCAAGGACCTCTCAAAGTAATGTATACAAATGTATAAAATAAAATAATGAAAACAAAATTTAAACAACATAAACATATATCGAGTAAATTAAAGGAAAAACAAAAATGAATAGCTATTTTAAAGCAGTGACTTCCCAGCAAATGCTTTTGCAGAATTTGGTCTGGCCTAAGTATTTTTCGGAGTATAAGATGCACCTTTTCCCCCCCTAAAAGGGGGAGAAAATTTAGGTGCGTCTTATACACCGAATGTAGCCCCACCAACCCACTGGCCCCCACCTTTTGGCCTCTGCCTTGCAGCAGTTATCTCCTTGCAAGCAAACAGCAAGAAAAAACAGCTCCTTTCAGCTTCAGCACAACCTAATTAGCACAAGTTGATTAGATGGGCCTCCTGACTCTCAGCTGATTTGCTCTCAGCTGTTTTGCGCAGGGCTCTGCTGCTTTCTCCAAAAAGGTAAATTGCTGGAGCATATTTTTTTTCCCCTTGTGCTAATCAAGCTGTGCTGAAAACGAAAATGAAAGTAAAGCAGGCTGTTTGCTGCAACAAGGCAAAATTGCTCAGAGGCAGAGGAACATTTCTTTTTCTTTTTATCACCAAAAAAGATAGGTGCGTCTTATACTCCGAAAAATACGGTACTTCCTCTGCAGAAATTTCTCACTTTTATTTGTCAATAGGTATAATGAGTTCAATAATCTCAAGTGAGAAGAAGCAGAGAAATAGATTCCAGGCAATCCAGTATTTTTTAATGCATAATTAATAATTATTAAGTGAAAATGGCATTAGTTAAAATAAAATTGAAATTGACCTGCAGAGAAAGAATACATATGATGGGCAGTTTCATCATACCGATCCCAGTGGGCACTGAGACTACTGAGAACAGCTCCTCACTTCCATCTTAGATCCAATCTACCAAAATAAATTCCCACAGATTCTCAGAAGGGGCTCTCTGCAGTGCAGAGAATCAGACTGCAGTGAAAATCACAGTCCTGAAATTTGAGATGAAGAATGATACCATATGTTCCTTTTCAGAGCAGCTTAGGATCTGTAGAAGTGGCCAAAGGTAGATATTTCCCAAGCACACTTCCTTACTCTGTCAAGATCCCAGTGTGGATCAAACATACTCCTGAGACTAATTTTGTGAAGAGAAAAAAATGTGTGTGGTTGACATTTTCCTCCTCAAAGCTAATCATTACTGTGAAACTTTTGCCACAATTCTGTAGGAGGCATTTTTGGATGTACAGTAGTGGCCAAAATTGTGGAAATATTTTGGGAAAAGTGTATTTTTGAGGTTTGATGACTAATAACACCACTTTTTTTTTGGAGTTTCAAGATAATCAAGATAATCATTCCATTGCTGGAATGGCTTTGGAATAGCCCAGACCTTAACCCAATTGATAATCTATGGAGCCGACTAAAGAAACTTCATTTCATTTATTATTAGATTTCTATAGATTTCTTGTTAGTCAGAAGCGACCCAGCAATAAAACCCAATTAATAGAAGCAATCATTCAATCTTGGTTTCATATTATAATAGCTGCGGAACTAAAAGACTTGGTTCACTCCATGAGAAGATGTTGTAAGGCCATAATTCATGCTAAAGGTTACCCAACTAAGTATTAACTGACGTAATAATTTTTGTTTATCTCATTTTTTCTATGGTGATAATTTTTGTATATCTCATTTTTTCTATGTGTTTCACTTTTCTTCTTTATACTGTAACTGCTATTCTAATAGCAAATCAAGCATTACATTCTTAATTAAATTATATTTCCATTGATATATACTACTCCAAAAACAAGTGGTGTTATTAGCTACTTTTAGAAAATACTTTTCCTAAAAGGTTTCCACAATTTTGGCCACTACTGTAAAGGGTCTAGGAAAGAAAACTTTACTCTTCTCTTATATCCTTCCCCTTAAACCATTCTTATACCTATTTACCCAATTTTAATCCATTTTAATTAATTAATTTTGAAAAGCGTCACTTCACAACATTACTCTGTTGGGGAATTCAACAGATTTAACTGAGGTGGGGATCATGAGCCAAAACTGACTTGTTGGGTGGAATTGTTCCTTTCCTGCTATATTGCACCATTTGAGAAGAGGTAGACAGCATGGATGATAATCTGGCCTTTAACCAAACAATTCTTGACCTGTCAGGAAGAATTATTATCGCTTATTCAAACATATGTTTCTACCACTGGTGATTTGAAATGTGGCTTGATTCTTGTATATCTGTACTTTAAGGAAAAGGTTTTAGAAGTGAGCAAATAAATTTGAATGAATCCTAGATGCTTTTTTTCATTCCCAAAGTCATAGTAACATTTAAAAAAACAAAATATAGGCATGTTGGCAACATAATGCAAGAGGAAAAAGCATGCATGAAAGAATGACTTAACTGTTCAATTTCTTTACGATATCGTTCTTCTTCCTCAGTAGCCTTCTGTGCAATCTCCATTTTCCGCCTAGAAATGTATACCCCAAATGAAACTAATGAATGATACTTAATATATAAAGTCACAATTTGTAGACAGCTTGTTCTATTGTTTGATGGATCATAACATTATATCCTGAGATAGATAACTTTATGAGAAATGCAACACTTTTCTACCTACTAAGAAGCTTAAGCTTTATTCCTTCTTATTCTTTTTGGTTAACAAAGTGAGTAACTAGTAAGACTGATAAACATTTGGACTTTGGCATTATTTACCAACATCCTTTTATGATTTGAAAGTCACTGAAGGTGATGGCTGAACTATGGAAGACTAATGTTTAATGTGGCTATTTCGAGGCTATTTCCTGGCCTTTTTGACAGGAACAGAAGACATTTCTTCTGAAGCTGTCTCAAAGTATTAAAAAAATGCTCACTTTGTTTTAATGTCCCACACAGTTGCTATTCCAGGAGTGCAATATTTAATGTACCATTTGTTAGTTTAGTCTTTCACTCTTAGTTGTGTTATGATCTCAGTGTTTTTCTTTGTGTTAGATTAACAAAAAAAGACAGAACTAATTACAAACATAACTTCAGTTTATTTATTTATTTTTTGCATGCATATGGTAATTGATTCCAAATATGCTTTCCTGGTTTTGTCATGCTTCTCTTAAAGAATACTTAATGATCAGAATTCAACTTCTGCTATCAATATAATATATTTTTAATAATGAAATGTAACTTTGTTTTATTGATCCTTCATTGGACAATTCCACTTTATTTTTACTCTTCTAGTATCATCCAGCCATTGTAATGGCAATATATCATAGGGAAAATAGAAGATTTATAATAGCTGCTGTAGCTATTATATTTCGTGACGTTTTTCCCATTTGCGGAGCTGAGGTCAGCACGATCTGCATGTGACGCAGCCACCAGTTTGACACTCTTGCTATAGGGTATTATAAACCCCCAGTGTGGAAAGTCAGAAAACAGCTAAAATAATTCTCTTTTATTAATAATCATCTACTCTTGATTAGTACTATAATATTGCCTTTTGACAAGAAAATGCTTCTATCTAAAAGTAGACTTCATATCTAAAAAACAGTAATGTTAAATTATCATGCTATATGATCACTCAAAAGCTCTGAAGCGTTCAGAAAGGAATTCAAGTTAACTAAGTTTGATGGTTATACGAATCAACAGTTACATGTTATGGCAACTGATTAATAGATGAGACCCTCTTCTGTCACAAACTCTTACAGTTTTTCTTTTTCTTGCTGTTCTTTCAGGATTTTGTTGGTTTCCAGGGCAAGCCACTTCTGACGCATTAACTCTTGGCGCTCCATCTCATGGTTATATTCTTCCCTTTGCCTCTCTTCCTCAGTCATAAACAGTTCCTTGCCCTAAACATTATTTTAAATCCCTGTTAATCAACTTAGTCAGTCAATCATCATAGTTATTAACTTGAATCAGTGGTGGGTTGCTCCCGGTTCGCACCGGTGCGCAAGAACCAGTAGTAAAAATTTGTAGTAGTTCAGAAAACCGGTAGTAACATTGGCTGGCCATGCCCCCAAACCGGTCCCCGCTCGCTTACCCCGCCCACCTCATCAGAGGCTTTTTTTTTAACTTTTAAAAGCATTTTTTCTACAACCTCTTCAGCCGAAAAAATGCTTTTAAAAGTAAAAAAAAAAAAGCCTCTGATGATCACACGGCTCAGCTGGGATCGTCAGAGGCTTCTAAAAGCATTTTTTTCTGCAACCTCTTTGACCGAAGAGGTTGTAGAAAAAAAAAATGCCTTTAAAAGCCTCTGGCGATCCCAGTTGAGTTGCCTGATTGTCAGAGGCTTCTAAAAGCATTTTTTTCTGCAACCTTTTAAGGTTGTAGAAAAAATGCTTTTAAAAGTAAAAAAAAAAAAAAATGGCCCCGCCCACCCAGTCATATTACCCCCCACCAAGCCATGCCCACAAAATAAGCCATGCCCACAGAACCGGTAGTAAAAAATTTTAGAACCCACTCCTGACTTGAATATTTGAGAAATAACATCTTTTGCAATATTTTCTTCAGGGAGAACCTGAATAAAACTTGTCTCTGCAAAACTTAAAAGACTTATTTTGGGAATAAACAAACTAAATTTAAATTTGGGAATTTTGATAGAACAGAAATAATTTCAAACAAATAGCTGTAACAAATGTAAAAAAGGAAAACACTAGAAGCATGTTACAGTGTAATTGTCCAAATTCTGTTCTTATTTTTATCTGTGCCATTGGGGCCTAGGCCCTATATATTTGTAGAAATTTGAGAACCTTGAAATCCATTTTAAATCTATTTTAGAAACATGAGTGTCTCATAAATTTAAACCTGTATGCTTTTGCATTTTAGTGCTGTTTATTGTGGTTGATTACCTTTGAGTTATATTCTCACTTCTATTTTCTGATAACTGTATATCTTTACACTGAAGGGTGTGAACACAGCACCAGAGGTGTTATACATAGCTAGTGATACAAGCAGTCCCTCTGTGGCTGAGCAGTGATCCAAAACAAATGCGAATGTATGTCTAGAATTAGGACAGGCATGCTGTTGTTTGGTTTGCTTTTATCTTTTTGAAAGGGATGATAAATTGCAGCAGAAGCTATTCAATTTCTACAAGCATTCTCCTTGCATTGTCCCTAGACTAAGCTTCTACTACCACTTATCATGTTTCAAAATGATAAAAGCAAATTGAACAACACTGTGCCTATCATAATTCTAGAAATGCATAACACAATAAAATAAGGAGAGAAAATAATATTGAATTGGTAAATATGATTGAAGGTAAAATTATGATGTTTATAATTTAGCCAGCCTGTAGTCCTATATTGATTTAGCCTTTCTGTAAGACCCCTTACATTTAATGAAACTTACTTTTAAGTAGATACATACAGATTTGTAATGTTAAATTACTTAAGCCTGGGTAAAATAATTTAGGATTTTAACTACATGAACTTCGAAGTTAGGGTGTAACTTCCACCCACTTTTTCTGCTTTTGGGGATCCCAAGCAGTGGTGGGTTGCCCCTGGTTCGCACCGGTTCTATAGAACCGGTAGTAAAACCGGTGGGAGGCTCCACCCACCGACCCCGATGTCATCAAAACTTGCACAGAAGAGCGCTCACGCAGCCCCACTGCAAACCCGTAGTAAAGGTAAGTAGAACCCACCCCTGATCCCAAGATATGTGCTTTGAGTGTGTTTCATTTCTTACTGCTGTATACAGCAACCTTTTGACTTTTCACAAGTCTTTTGTTGATTGCTATGACATTAATACTTACAGCTCCAGTTACAACAGTGATTGTCAGGGTTTGACTGCTTTTCAACACCTTCACAGCCTGGGGGAAAAAAAAAGAAAGAAAAGGGAGGTGATGACAGAAAAATTAAACTGTAAAATCTAAATATTGTAAAAGTCTACAGGACTAACAGTGCAGTTAGAATGGCTTTTTAGTCTTCTCAATATGGTATTCTTTCAGTTATTATTCTAGAAAATAGGGGAACCTACCTAATTCTAATTCCAGTCATTTGTCATAAACACTGTTGCAAAAGAATTTCTTTTGAGCATTTTCTTCAAGCAACATGATACAATTACTTTAGGAACTTCAAACAAAAAATAAAATGTTGTTATTTTAACCACCTAGAGATGATTTTGCAGTTTTGAAATCAGTACTGAGTTTTATGCAATTTTGTGCAGAATACAAAGGGAGTAATTCCCAAGTAAATATGTTAGGATTGCAAGTGTACAGAATGTTTGACAAAGCTGACATATCTTTTTTTTTTTAATGAAGTAAAGTCCATTTCTCTAGTCTAGTTCAACATCTTTGATTAATTTTTAGCAGATAAAATTCTAAATGGTAGCTATAGTGATGTGGCAATCAATGGGCTTGAATCAATCAGTTGTATATTTATATTATATTTTATTCAAAAGAACATTTAATAATTTATTAAGTTTATATGCCATCTGACTCCCAGTTACCCTGGACAGTTCACAATGGTTAAACATTTTAAAAACAAAGAACAATATGGTAAACATAACATGAGGCCCAGAAATGATACGGTGAAATCAATTGAGTCCAATCCTTTATTTGCTTGCAGCTAAGGAACAGAATCTTGCAAACTAAAGTTATAATAGCACTTAGCACTAGTGCTTAGGCTTAAATACCACTTCACAGTGCTTTACAATCCTCTCTAAGTGGTTTACAGAGCCAGCCTATTGCACCCAACAATTTGGATCCTCATTTTACCCACCTCGGAAGGATGGAAGGCTGAGTCAACCTTGAGGCTGGTGAGATTTGAACTGCCAAATTACAGGCAGCTGGCAGTCAGCAGAAGTAGCCTGCAGTAGTGCATTCTAACCACTGCATCACCATTGCTCTTATATATAATCTTATACAATCTCTATAATCTTCTAATCTATTAGAGATACTAATCTACGTGAGAGATTCTAAACTATGGCTATCCTAAACCTCTTCCCTACTCTTCCATCTTGGGACTGTGCAGTCTCTTAATCTGGGCTCTCTCTGGAAAAGTTCTGCTTTACCAAAACTGTCCCCCATTGTTCCTGCAGGTGCACATTCTACTACACATAAAATACTACAAGACAAAGGGACATCAAGTCCAGAGGGGAACAGAAACAAAGAAAGGGCCATTTAATCATCCTCTCCAAAGGCCTGATTGAAGGTCTTTTAGGCACTTTGAAATCTTACTAGCAATAGCACTTAGATTTATACAGTATACTGTTTTACAGTGCTTTACAGCCCTCTCTAAGCGGTTTTACAGGGTCAGCATATTGCCCCCAACAATTTGGGTCCTCATTTTACCCACCTCGGAAGGATGGAAGGCTGAGTCAACCTTGAGCCTGGTGAGATTTGAACTGCCAAATTGCAGATAACCGGCATTCAGCAGAAGTAGCCTACAGTACTGCACTCTAATCACTGCACCACCATGGCTCATACTATGTGGGAGCTTGAATTTTGGAGGAACTTCATGCTCCCACCCCGAGAGCAGATACTGCTACAGAGAAGGTGAGCTTCCAGAGTCCCGATAGCTGCCAGAATGAACTGCTTGGGAAGATGCAATGGAAAACAGGAACAGTCCCTCAAGTAACCAGATCCTATGTCATGTAGGGTCACTTGGTTTTAATTACCTCCTTATGATCCATATTAGAGAAGTCTGTACCATTTACTTCAACAATCTGATCACCAACCTAAAAAAAAACAATCAACAAAGTGTTGAATATTTTTTGTACACTTCTTAGTATAGTAAATGGTGGCCCATTCCTTGCTTTGGAAAACTCTTGAAATAAGACAGATTCTTAAAGCTCTACTCTTCACTGTCCTTTCTCCCGTTAAAACATATATGTGCATGCACAGATCCACATACCCACACAGTTTTAATGAAAGAAGGTTAATACTGGAATACTCAGCTTCCCAGGAGCTACCTAATTTATCTTTAATTATCTTATTTAGTGTCACAATTCAATATTTAAGAGATGAACACTGCAGAATTTTCTATTCAATGAAATCTGATAATATTATTAGTTCAATTTATTAGTTCAATTAGTTCAATTAGTTCAATTAGTTCAATTAGTTCAATAGATCCCCTTGCTTCAAATTGTGGTGTTGGAGAAAACTCTTGAGAGTCCCATGGACTGCACAGAGATCAAATCAGTCAATCCTAAAGGAAATCAATCCTGACTGCCCTTGGGAAGGACAGATACTGAAGCTGAAGCTCAAATACTTTGGCCACCAAATAAGAACAGAGGATTCACTAGAAAAGATCCTGATGTTGGATGAGATTGAAGGCAAAAGGAGAAGGGGACAGCAGAGGATGAGGTGGTTAGATACTGTGATTGACACAATGAATATGAATTTGGGCAAACTCTGGGGACAGGAAGCCTGGCATACTATGGTCCATATTGTTCAGATTTAGTGACTGAACAACAACAAACAAAATAGATCTCCTTTGAGACTGGATCTTTTCCCCTTGTGTCAAAAAAGTTTTTATTTATTCTGGCAGATCAAATGAAAGGTATGAAATGCACCCTTTGCTTGGAAAAATGTGATTTCCTATATTTGCTTGCATTGGGGGTAAGGGAGACCTCCTGCTTTTTCTCCTTCTTCCTCTTTTTCTTCTCTTGAGTTCTTTTCAACTTGTCTGCAGAGCATTAGAGACTTAAAAATTTCAAAACCATACAGCTCCAGGAAAGGTAAGTGAATTGCTTAATCTAATCCATGAGAATAGATCATTTCAATGCAACAAGATAGATGTATATAATTATCAGAATTTTCTTAAACTGTTCATTATTTACTTTAACTTCTGGGACAGGTGACTGAATTCTCCTCCGCCCTTATTTAATTAACTGATAATCTGTATTTACACTAGCAAATGGTCCTCAACATGGCTAACAATTATGGTATAAAATATACTACATTCACCTGCAAGTTAAAAACCAATTTCACAAACCAAACTTTTTCTGATTAGAGAAAAACCATTTGACCTTCTTCCAAATTAAACATTTCCATGCAATTAGATTTTGTATGGTTTATATTCACCTCCAACCCTACTTCAGCAGACAAAGAATTTGGTTTAACGTTGCTTATGAAAATGCCAGGTTTTTGTGTAGGGCCACTGGAAATACTGGAACAAAACATGAAAGAAATAAAATCAATTAATTAATTAATGGCAATCATATCAAGAATAGACTAATCATATTCCCCTCTCTACAATCTTCCTATATACCAAATCTAATCTGGTAGGTTGGGATTTTTCTGAAAAAGGATAAGAAAGCAAAATATTAACTTTCTTCATTTTACAGTACATTAGAATAAAACGAAGAACTTTATTGTGATTGCATCACACAAATGTTTTGTTTGGATCTATATCTATGAATAGATAAAATTCAGTGAAGATAATTAAAGTGTTCTAATCCATATGAAAAGAAAACAACTTTTACAATGAAGTGACTCTTTACCTCTTTTCAAGTCATAAATCAGTAATTAATAAAAATGTCCACAATGACATGAGTCAAAGACCAAAGAACTGAGATGCCAATCCAGAAGGCAGACATGGTATTTGTAGTTTATCTCTGCTTTAGGGCTTAATAATTTGTACCAGCATTTTAAACAATAAAAATGCCAAAATCAGTTCTTTTAATACTTAATGATTTATATGTGAAAGCAAAATAATGTTTAACAGGACTGTGCAGCACTTCATATTCTGATCCCAAAAATATTTTGAAGTACTGGACCAGGCCTGTCAAACTGGCGGCCTGCAGGCTGGATACGTCACGTGCAGGCCACGCCCATCCTGGCTCCGCAAAGACAAAAAAGGTCGCGATACATCATGATCCGGCCCGTAATGCTATCGAGTTTGACATCCGTGTACTAGACTATGAACACAGAACCCTTCTGTAACTCTTTGCTTCTTTTCCCAGAGCCACTTCAAAGCATCTTTTTGGAATCAAATCCAAAGCTCTGCACGTGTATCAAGTTTAATTGAAATTAAATGAAATTAATGGCTCATTCCCACTAACTACATTTTCTTGGAGAAACAAGTGACAAGAAAACGCTGTAGCTCACCTGCATCCCATGCCCTTTGTACCAATTAGGCTAATGAAAACCTTCTTTTCTTTATGATGTTTTCCTCCGGATGATGCAAGACCTGCAATGCTGTTTTGACCATCCTAAGATAAGAGAGAACAGGCTAATTGCTAAACTGCAATTAGTTAAATAGAGAAGTTATCCCACTGCCTACCTCTCCCAATTCAAATGGAATCTAAGTTTAATAAACATCTGCAATCCAGGCTAAAACACAAGCTCTAGACGATCCGTTTACTCATATTGGAAAAATTAGGCTTGAGATTAGGAGAATGGGGCAGTTGCTTAAGAAGATAGCACAGAGAGGCAGTAATAACAACTCCATATCTGTTCACCTCTGCTGGAGAACAGATGTGCATGTTCCAGATAATCTGCTTTTTATTACAAGGGGAAGTTTTTATCCCATCTTCTTGTCTGAACCTATATTCAGCGGCAACCAAGTTGGTATGGGGGCAGATCATTTTCACCTGAGCCACCAAATTGCCTTAGGTTGACTCCTTTTTTTTTCCTTTGGCATTATCCCATATGCTAAATATATTCTAATCTATATATTTGGGAGGACCTTTTTTTTCAAAACAGAAAACAATAGGGAGAAAACTGTTTTTTTAAAAAAACCAAAAATCCACAACTCTAGGGAAGTCTCAGAGAGGATGGAATGCTACCTGGGAAGGGGTTGGCGGTATGGAAATAAAAAACAACTATGAATGGAATTTGGAATGGAGTAAATGGAGTAAAGAAAAGCTGACTAAGGTCATTCAACAAAGCATAATTTGTTGAAGCTCCCGTGTAATATACACATATTACATCAATAACAGAATGTTGTGATATGATGCTTTTCAGACTAGCATGGTTATCTCTCATTCAGTTATCAAAGTAATTCTATAGTCTTAGCCTTTCTAAATTTCAAAAGTGGCTACGTTAAGCATTTTGGAAGCATTTTCAAAAATCAAAACACAAGTTAATACATATTATCATAGATATAACTGCTTCAGTGGTGGATTGCCCCCCCGGTTCTCACCGGTTCTATAGGCTCCGCCCACTGACCCGGACGTCATCAGAAGGAATCTGCGCGCGTGGGCACGATGCGAACCGGTAGTAAAGGTAAGTAGAACCCACCCCTGAACTGTTTCCACAAAAATGATATTATTATTATTATATTATTATTATTTGATATAACCCGTAAAAGTGAAACCTGAATACTCTAAGATTTTTTATTCTGTTCCATCCTGTCACTTTAACTGTGTTATCAATCCTCAAGGTTGTAATAGTCAGCTTTGCATGCCCGCTGCCAAACTCAGTTCTCATCAGGTTATATTTATGGGAAGGATGAATCTTAAGGGTTTCTATTACCTAATCTTCATTTTAGTGTGCATTTTAGCTAATAAAACTAAATTTAGTGGAGATCTGTTTCTCACTGTTTATCATACAAAGTTTATCCCATCATATTTTCAGAACATATTACAGTAAGAAAGACTGGTTGGTCAAAACTTACTTTAAAGCCGCATCTTCCCATTCAGACTTTTAGCCATTATAGCCAATCTGCTTTTTAAAGGATCATTTAATCTTTGGAGGCTATTTAGTAAGCATTTTCTTCAGCCAGTTCCAAGTTCTCCTATCTGGGCACCCTCCAGATAGTTGACCTTTAAGTCATATAAAGGTTGAAGTACACATACTTGGATGGCACCCAGATTTGAATGGCTACAACAGACTAGGCGACAAACTAGTCACTTAGCAACAGACATTTTATCAGGCTACCTTTACAGGTTTCATCCCAATTAGCTATTTTTGTAATACCATCACGTTTTTTAAAACATTAAGAGTTGGTTGCAGAATTTTCATTGCCCCTCCTAGTATTTTAATCGTGTAGATTTCAATATGAGGGAAGGCACTGTCTATTTCTATGAAGCTGTTAATTGCAACAACAAAAACGGAAGCTTGCACTCAGTAAAAAAAAAAAAGGTCTAAATCTGCCTCATCCCATTGAACAACTCAGCAGTTTCCAGACATTTTTAATATCAACTTTTGTCAGTCCCAATCAGTGAGTCCAGTGGCAAGGAACATGAGTGCAAAGCATCTGTAATGAGGACAGGTGTTTTAAAAAGAATTTTAAGACCACAGGATATAATTTGTGATAGGTTGAATGGGCATCTTACCCCAGGATTAGATACAAACTGATCTACATATTGCCACTTGAGAGGTTCATCTGGGGAACTAAAATAAAAGATATGAAGATATGAAGTTAGAACAATTAATCAGTGGAACAACTTGCCTCCAGAAGTTGTGAATGCTCCAACACTGGAAGTTTTTAAGAAAATGTTGGATAACCATTTGTCTGAAGTGGTGTAGGGTTTCCTGCCTAGGCAGGGGGTTGGACTAGAAGACCTCCAAGGTCTTCTTGCCTTTTGACTCTTGCCTTTATGTTACCTTCCAACTCTTGTTATTCTATGTTTCTATGTTTCTAAGATGACAAGATGTAAGATTGATACGTATCAAAATCAAATCAACGCCTACTAGGTGATTTACTAATCTCTGATATCTGTATTACAGCATGTATAACGCTATGCAGTCTTTTAGATTTTTGTAGGTGAACCTTTTTTTAACCAACTGAAAAATACAACTGAAAATTACTACAGTATGTGTGATCTACACTGTACATAAAAGATATGTTTTCAGAAAAGAGCATTACCTTTTAACGGGTATCATCCCAACATCTGCAATGAAATCATATTTAAAGGTGATTAACAAAATGTTCAGATTTATCTTATCTAATTAACATCAAAGTATATATCACATATCAGTTTGATCTAGTGGCTAAGGCACCAGACTAGAAACCAGGAGACTGTGAGTTCTAGTCCTGATTTAGCCATGAAAGCTGGCTAGTTGACTGTCCCTCAGTCCAACCCACCTCACAGGGTGGTGGTTGTAGGGAAAATAGGAGGAGGAAGGAATATTAGGTATATTTGTCACTTTGAGTACCTATAAAGTAATAAAGATGGAATAAAAAAAAATCTCAAAGCAATGGTGTACTTACGTCGCACTTTTATAGATACTGTTTTCTTTGTGCGTATAAGATTGATGACTTCTTCATGAGTGCATGAAGAAATAGAGTAACCGTTTATTCGAACGATCTCATCTCCAACCTTAAATAAAAAGCAATCAATCAATCAAAATTCAATAGCATATTTTAGCAGAAATATACAGTTGCAAATCAACATTGGAAAGAAGTTGCTTCTGGTACAGAGGGAGACAATTTCCATTATGAAATGGATAGAATGCATAAGAAAAAAAATTGCAAGCCACATAAAGTCCCTTAAACACGCCGTAGCTGACTATGTTTGCTGAGGAATAAATAACTGGCTCTACAAGCCTAACCTTCATTCAATTTCTTTACAGTACATTGGTGGATCCTGGATGTAAATGAAATTTTCAGAACATAAAATGGCTGCCATAGCAGGGCCTACTCTTCTCAATATGTCTGCCATTGTGGTTGTGCCTTATAAGTTATCTAGCTTTTTATTACTTTTGTTACCATACAAAACATGAAGGTAACATAAAGGCAAGAGTCAGGGAAGAAATTCCTAATCCTTGGAAAAAGTGAACGCTATCAATTAGATACTATTACTGATAACTCAATTATGATTTTACAAAATCTAAAAAGTGCTATTACTGACAGATGTTGCTGGTGAAATGATATATGTTAGGTCATAAAGAAATGAATGTGACTGAGTGAATAAAGTTACTAAATACATTTACTGTATCTACTAACACTGAGCTGAGTTTACTCATGGACAATTCCATAGGAAGCTACTATCTCTTATTTCTTCCAGCTCCTCTCCTCCCATCCCCATACCATTATCCAAATTTGTTCAGAAGAATACCATGGGTCATAGACCAAGGACCAGGGGTGAAATCTGGCAGGTTCAGGCAGGTTTTGGAGAACTGGTAGCGGAAATTTTGAGCAGTTTGGAGAACTGGCAAATACCACCTCTGACTGGCCCCAGAGTGGGCTGGGAATGGAGATTTTGCAATATCCTTCCCCCAGGAGTGGGAAGGGAATGGGGATTTTGCAATATACTTCTCCTAGAGTGGGATGGGAATGGAGATTTTGCAGTATCCTTCCCCTGCCACGCCCACCAAGCCACACCATGCCCACCAAGCCACGCCCACAGAACCGGTCGTAAAAATTTTTGGATTTCACCACTACGAAGGACTGTAAGTGTAAATCATTGAAAATGACCAACCGCACATTTCTAATAACAGAAATACTGACTGCGTCCAAATGGCTTCCATAAAGGAAAGGTACCCTTCTATTAGAGAAGGATAACTCTAGAACCCTGCACCAGACTCGTATATTTAATTATAATATAGGTTTCATTTTTTTTTCTGAAAGAGCAATATTTTTCTACGAAAAAAACATTTTCTTTGGAAAATAGTGAACAGTACCCTCAACACAGCATTTCCAAGAAAAGTAGACCGTATTGAATGGAGACAATCTACAACAGCACAACCCATCCAGTGGTGGGATTCAAATAATTTAACAACCGGTTCTCTGCCCTAATGACTGGCTGGGTGGGCGTGGCCATGGTGGGCATGGTCAGGGGGTGTGACAGGCATCACTTGGCCTCCTGCACCCCCCTGGGAGCAATAATGGGACATGGGGGATGCTCTGCCCCCCCCCGTGTCCCGTTTTGGGCCCAGGAGGCGTCCCTGGGGGGCTTGGGGACACCTGGAAGGAGCGGGGCAGAGCCAGCAATTTAACTACTGGTTTGCCCGAACTGGCTCAAACCAGCTGAATCCTACCATTGAACCCATCCCTTTATGTTAATGAATTACATAATAGGCACGGATTGCAAGGGATCACATATGCTGCACTAATTTCCTGCTGCTGCAGAAAAGCTTCTGAAGAATGGACCTTTGGCATTCCATGCAGTAAAAAGTTGGATCTCTTCTCCCATACATTAGTTGGGATCATTTCTTCCATACATTAGTTAAAAGATACACCGTTGATACACTGTTGGCAATGAATACAACTATAAAAACTTTTCAGTATCTTGGGCGTCACATGGAACTTTACATGAAAGCTGTGATGCAGCTGATTTAGGAACCTGAATTATATAGAGCAATTTTGTAAATTATCCTGATGCTAGGTAATGTTATTATTGCCCCTGACTCTGCAAATATCATTTCCCCATGTCCACGTTTATCCCAAGAAACAATTATTGATCCCTTTTTATTTTATTTGTTCCTCTTCCATCTTATCTGATCCTCTTGTCACCCTTAGACTAACTATAGCCATTTTTTCCTCACCAAAGCTCAAAACCTATCTCACAAGCATTACAATATTTTGCATCAGAGCTAGCATTCATATTATTTAGCGTTGCTTATTTATAAAATCCTGACATGATTGTGCTTGAAAATAAAGTGAAAGACAAGTAATTCTGCAAATGTCAATAATATATAATCCTTTAAAAAAATGCTGAAGGTTACAAAGTGGTTAAAGGAAATGAGAGAAAAGGACATCATCAACAGATTTGGTTTTTACTAATTCTTTTACAAATTACAATTAATATGTATTCTCTCAAGCATGACTGTTACAGTTATGCAACTGATAATTTGGAAGACCTATCTTCTTGTTGATTACTTATTTATTCATGCTATACAGTTATTTAAACACAAAGGAATCTGCTAGAATGAATTAGGTAGCAACTATGTAGGGCATAGAATATTTTAGTTTAGATTCAAATCGTTATTTGTGGACCAGGCTGAAATAATGGAATGAACAATTGGCTCCACAAACGTTACAATGATATGATTGCTCCATCTACTGGGCAAAATTCTTATTGCTATTAAGCCTCTTCCCCACCCACTCCCCTTCCCCTCTTCTTTTAAGCACAAATCTCTAATAGGGAAATGTGATGCTATTAGTAATTAATTGATTTTTAAGACAATGTAAGCTGCTCAAATTCACGTGAATCAATTCAGATTCAACTGAATTAATAAATAAATAAGCCCATGGTTACAATGATGTAAGGCAGAGCAAAGAGACATTGCACTTGCTATATGAATACAAGTAGTCCTCGACTTAACAACATAGTGACCTTTCAAAGGTCACTTAGTGACCGTTCAAAGTTATAACGACACTAAAAAAGTGACTTATGACCATTTTTCACACTTATGACCTTTCTAGCATCCCCATGGCCATGTGATCAAAATTCAGATGCTTGGCAACTGGTTCATACTAATGACTGTTGCTACGTCCCAAGGTCATGTGATCTTCTCACAAGCAAAGTCAATGGGGAAGCCAGATTCACTTAACAACCTTAACTTATCAGCTGCGGTGATTCATTTAGCATCTGTGGCAAGGAAGGTCATAAAATGGGGCAAAACGTACTTAACAAATGTCTCACTTAACAACAGAAATATTGGGCTCATTTGTGGTTGTAAGTCGAGGACTACCTGTATCCTGTTGATCAACAATGTAATCATTTAATAAAGGCAGACAAACTAAGAGTAATCTGTCCTTGTTATATTTGGATAATAAGTTTTGCTACCATTTAATAATCATCCTTCAGAAGCTAATTTTGAAAAACTCCCACTCCATACTTTGACAACTCTTTTCTATGACTATAATCTCTACAGGTTTCTGTTTAGTTTTTGTTTTTAAAAACAGAGGACATGGTTAATAGTGGTGATGATGGTTAAATTGCTATTGCTATTGCTATCATTACCGTAAAAGAAACAATGAACAAGCTTGAGTTCTCAGGTGTTTTAGAACGGAGGGAATTATAAGGTAGAATATGCCTTCTTTATGTACTAAATTCTATGTCCAAGGAAATACTTTTTGGAAACATTTTATGTCTTGCATTTTCAGTGTGTATTAAGCTGCTTGTGTTATTACTGAAGAACTAGGGGGCTAAAAGGAAAAGTATCAAACAGAAAATGCTTTGTTTTGGCTTTTGAAAACAGTCTCTTTAATAGCTGGACTATAGGAAGCAGAACTGTGGTGGTTTCAAATTTTCTATTTTCTCATTTTGCTGTACTTCTATTATCCATAATAACTTCCAACTCCTTTTAGCCCACAACATCCTCAAAGATATCTGTATCTGGGAGAATAGCTAGAAGAATTTTTGAAAAGGTGAATGACATGAAAAGGCTAAATACTTATCTATTCAGAAAAAAAAAAAATGAAGACAACACAGGAAAATAGGTCAGAGCTAGAAATGTTCCTGAGTTACAGATACATATGCGGGTAGTTTTAGCAGTATAGAAAACTTTTTAATTTCTCATAGATGAATCAAAATAGTATGTAAAAAAGGAGAAGAAACTAATACTCATTATTTTTCTCAGACCACATTTTTTCCAGCTTAGAAAATGTGTGGAGATTTAATGAAATAATGTAGATGGATGAAATTTCAGAAGCATTTGGCATTATCATGAGACAGCAATTTAGAACAATGGGCCTCCTGTCAACTTCTTTTATTTACTTGTTTTCAGAAAGTTTCAGATATGTCCCTCAGAGATTATTATGAACACAGTTTATGTTAATACTTAAAATCACATATCAACAAAGTCAGGTCGGCAACTATGTTTGATGCAGATTCCTAACAGCTTTTTAGAAATTTTTGATTATAATACAAGGAAAATTTAATATTTGTTAACATGCTTTCTATTTAAACATTTGGATTTGTTCTTCTTTTGGGCTTTTCTTGAGTTAGTTTATGAGTTAATATATAATATTCATGGTTTTCTAAACTATTAAAAATATAAATGTGTGTAAGTTTATAAGCCGTTGCTTTCATGTAATAAACAACATTTGGGTGTGCTTCTCCTTCCCTCTTTGAGTAATAGAAAGTCAAATTCTTTCCCAGCATATAGAACAAGGGTGTTAAACTCAAGGCCCGCAGGCCGGATCCAGCCCGTGGGGTGCTTAGATCTGGCCCATGGCGCCGCCCTGGAAACAATGAAGGACTGGCCCGCGGTGCCTCTGCCAGTGAAAACGGAGCTTGGGAGGGCTGCAGGTGGCCCTCCCGAGCTCCGTTTTTGCTGGCAGAGGGTTGCAAGAGGCCATCCCAGCTGAAAATGGAGCTCAGGAGTCCATTTTCGCTGGCAGAACGCTCAGATCACCACAGACTCCCCCTGACAAGAGTGATGTCACACTGGCCAAACCCACCCTGCCCCGCCCAACGTCAAATACAACCCTGATGCGGCCCTCAAAGAAATTGAGTTTGATACCCCTGATATAAAAGATATTCAAAGAGATATAAAGTTGCGAATACAAATGGTCACTTTTGTATCTGCTAGCTTGACTTGATTAACATAATCAAAGGCCCTTTTATAATCATTGAAGTACATATGGACTTTTTTGATAGTGTTTGGCTTTCTCAATTATTTAGCATCAGCAATATTGTCTCTTGTTCCTTGGCCTTTACTAAAGTCAGATTTGAATATCTGACATCTTTTCCACATGGGGTTCTAATTGTGTTGCATAACTATTAATCTTATTTTGCTAGCATGTGAAATTAAAGATATTGCATGATAGTGTCCAACTTATTAAGTATCCATTCTTTTTTATTGGTATATAGAGTGATCTCTTCCAATTTGTTGGCCATTGTGTCATTCTCCAGATTTGCTGGAATAGTATGATTACAATCCTACAAATTTTTCTTCTGATAAGGGTTTTTCTTCCTAAAATGCATTTTGGTTATGGTACCTGCAAGAGTTTTAGCTATATATATATATATTGCTTCACCTGAAGTCCAACATTGTCTGCTTGTCCTCCTTTTATTAGCTGTGAAATAAACAGGCCACAAGCAAATTCAGCACCTCCTCGCACACTTATTCCAAGGCCTTCAGGATGCAGACGATCCAATCTCACTTCTTTCAGTTTCCTGTAGAAGTTGTAATATCAAATAATTTACACTTGCAACATAAAAGTTCCTATAAATCAAACATATCTATCTTTCCTTTGTAATTAGGTTCTAAGCTTTCAAAGAGTACAAGATATATGTCTCAAATTTCATTATTCAGGCTTTCAATTTATTTTGTTTTATTATTTTTTGGGGTTTCTATGCTAGTCCAATCTCATTAATTTGTGGCAAGGATACAGAAAGTTATCAACAACTGTTTCAGCTCTTGTGCTGCTATAGAAAATTTTTATTTAGCAAATATGTATATTGCAAAATGCTTTCTTCTTCATGTTCATTAATCTTTGGCTATTGATTTCATTATTGGATGATATTTTAAAAACACACACACATTTTCCAACGTGGTCTTCTCATTGCTCTTCACCAGCTCTCTAAAGACAAAACACATTAACTGTGTTTTCTAAGGGAGCAGGAATAGATTTGAACTAGGAGAGAAACTCCTTGATTGAGTTGTTAATGCGTTTCTCATAATAGGAGTTTTGTGATAAGAATTTATTATGGATTTTGGTTAGAGTTTAATCTGATGTTTTGCAATTTTTTTTGAAGTAAACAGATAGCAGAGGGAAGAGGAAGCTAGATCTGTCGTCATATTTTATAATCAGAAAAAGATAAAAAGGAAAGGTCTCCAATGGTTCTATAGTTTATAATAAAAATAATTAGTTATTTGAAAAGTGTGCTTTGATATTAAATGTAGTTATACAGAACACTGTTCAGAATGACCATATATAGTGTGCTCTGAGTTTTTATATAAGGATTAGCTTTTATGTGCTTTTTTCCCATAGTCAAAAATATTGTTCAACCTTACCTTGTTCGTTTAGGTGTCAACTGATCATATTCCACTTGGTGTTTTAATGGGATAAGAGGACAAATGGCCTCAAACAATGGTAGTCGACTGGGATCATTGATTACATACTTCAGATCACCAACCAATACTGGAAGATTCATTGATCTACAGAAGTTGGGAAGCTTGTGTTAGTCTGCCATAATAAAGATCTTCCCTAAGCACTTATAACACTTGACAAAATGTTAAAGCAGGTGATTACTATCTTAATAACATTTGTTACTTGGAAAAGGGGCTACCAGACTCCTTCTGATTTTTGGATTTACAGAATAAAATTGTGGAAAGTTATAAAACAAATCTGATAATGTATTTAGCATAGTATGTGGCATTGGCTAATAACTGTTCCTATTTTATTAAAAAAAATATAGGAAAGCCTCAAGTCAGAGCTGTCAAACTCCCGGCCCATGGGCCGGATGCGTCACATGCTGGCTACGCCCATGTCCAGTTTAGCGAAGGGGGAAAAAAGTCCCAGTATGTCACGTGATGCTGCCGTGACAACGTGAGTTTGACACCCCTGCCTTAAGTGATCAAATCACTGATGAGCAGCAGAATCTACCATGTATTAGTTCATCTTATAACAACTATCGTATGCAGAATATTAAGTTTTAAGTTATAAGTAGAGTAAATGGTAAGAATTAACAAATGAAACAAATTATAGAAAAATAGATATGTTATATGAAATGTAATAGATCTGATTGAATTGGTCTATGGATTCAGTGGAAACATGGATGATTTGCAAGACTAGTCTGGTATAGAAAAGTACTATGAACAGCATTGCTGTAAAATTCAACTATTGTGTATTTCTGTTTCCATATCTCATGCCTTTTTTGTTTAACAGTTTATTTTTTACTCCTTTTCTGCACCTTGTACAACTGCTTACTCAAAGAGAAATTTATTTATTTATTGTATGGTACACTCAAAGAGGACTAGCAGAATAGCTATAGGTATAATATTGGTGCATATTCATATATATATATATACAGTATATATATGTGTGTGAATCTATGCATATATGACTAGTGAAAACTAAGCAAAATGGAAAGTAATGTAAATAAGAAAGAAAGTAATGTGTAATTTAAGTTTCACTTATTTCAATGCAAAATAAATGCAAGCAAGTTTCTTTGGATCAAATCACTTATGTAATTATATGGTTAAACTAGAAAGATATATACCAAATTTTCTGGAAGGAATATTTTGATCATGATAGCTGGAAATCTTTAAAAGTATAGTCTTAACCAGGTTTGGAAAGGTTAAATTCATTCTGTACTGCCTATTCATCTATGTAAAATGTATGTATAATGCATGATGGTACAATCATATTATCACAGATATTGAACAACCTGATAGAATTGCTTGATATACAAGCAGTACATTCTTAATAGCAATCAAATACTTCCAAATAGTCAATTACAAAATTCAATGGAACCTTTAATGGAACAGTAAATAAAGTTGTGTTTTCTGAAATTTTAAAACCAGCAAATGCATGGATTTCGTATGTACTGTTTTCCTCAAGGACAATAGCCATCTATTTATTTTTAAATAAAAATATTTTCCCATTTAATAAGCATTATAGGGATAAACCATGTCCATTTGTGATGCAATAATAAGGAAACAGTATTGGAGTACTTTAAAAATTCATACAATTCTAGTGGCATATATTTTTAAGGATTAGAGTTCATCATGGAGTAGGAATCTAAGTTTCATTTGTATATGAATACAATTGGATCTATATTGGATTCTGTCCAATATACATTCCCTTATGTATATTGGACAGAATCCAATATAGATCCAATCCTGATCCAAGTAATAAAATAAAAAGTATTAATTTTAAAATCCTTGGTAAAGAGATGTCCTTTGGGAAGAACCGAACAGGATAAGGCTAGAAGCAAAAATCAATGGGGACTAATATTGTCAAAGGAGTTACAAATACAGGAGTTTCTCTGTAGGACGCAAAGTATAGCCTCTTGCAGCAAGAGTGAATTCTTTCCCACCTTTTTAAATTATCAATAACATTTCCCAGAATAGGATAGATAAGGATTCAGCAAAGAAAACATGTTCGTACTTCCAGCCACATTTTAAACAATTAACTCATCAGAATTATTTCTTCTCTAAACAGCTGCAGACCAGCTTTTATGAATGGAGAAACAATTACGGTCTCAAGGGAAACCAAAATGAATTAGTAGACAAAAACCATGCCAAGCTATATCTTTGAAGAAAAATCACAAAGAAAACAGCCAAATATTCTGCTGAGGTGGTACAAATTAAACTGTAAACTTCACCTCACCTTTGAAATCTGGAGAAATATTTCCTCTTATTCTATGCAAAATAAAATGGGCTCACGCCTATTTCAATTATTAATGAGTAGAAAATGAAACTATAATTGTATCTTATTAGTATTGAGAAAACAAGGAAACAGCAAAAATGGAGTAAGTATTTTCTTGCTGAAGAGGATCTGCTGCACTATTATTTAAGTTATATGGTACTTTAAGGATAAAATTATTGTTTGTGTATGCATGTATATGTATACATCTAAACACCAACAGCATAATCATTTCATATTTTTCATTTAATGCCTTTGATCTCAATGCTAACACTATTTGAAGCCCTTCTTATAGTGCTATATTTCCATGTCCACATCTGTCTGCTACTTCAAAACACCATTTCATAGATCCTATGAAATTAGCTCTGGGAACATGAGCTCATGTTTTAATGCATTTGTATGTTTTTACAGAGCCACAATTCCTATCGAAATATACTGGTGACTTTGTTGTAAATGCATAAATGCGATACATTTAGGTCTACTGAAAGCGTATATACAATAAAGCAAAGTTAACAAATGGATTATTTTTTTCCAAACTACCATTTGCCTTTTATTTAATAAAACAATTGTTCAAGGAGGTGTTTGATGTTGCTATTAAATACTTTTAATATTTTACTAGTTTACTAGTTAAAATAGAGGGATTCCCCCCCCCCCATATTTACCTATTATCTCCAGCCATGTGCAAAGACACCACAAAAATAAAAGCACTAAGTATAACACAAAGACTTACTGGTGGTACATCCGCAGTACATCATACAGATAATCTTTCTCTGCTTCACTATCGATTAAGAGGTCAACCTGAAAAATGAATAATTTCATTGTAATTCTGCTCATAAATAGGAAATGCTGAAGATTTTCCCTCTGCCATTAATCCCAAAGCCATTACAGTATCTGATTCCCTTACCTGATATTGACTAAATACCTGCATAAATATTTTCAAAAACCGTTTAGGCCATTCACTAATGTAGCCCATGATTGCACATGTAACTATGAAGGACTGGGCCAAAACTAGCTATTCACCGGCTTCTCTGAATGCAACCATCTTTCTGAAGATGTGCAATCAAGTAAATTATTCCACCCCGCTTTGATATTGTGTCTGAGCTTGCTGTTAAATAGTTATCCTTTCTTCACTCTCTGAAACAGCAGTTTCAATTAACCCCGTGTCAGGTTGCAAGAGTTTCACTCTAACTGTTTCTAAAATAAATAAATAAAAACCTGACAGAATGACTTGCTTCTCTGGGCACTTTTCTGAAACCGGGAATTTCCACTGTCTATTCATTTCTATTAACAGTAAAAGTGAATTATTTGCACATTTTGCTGAGAGTTAAGTGGCTATAATATAATTTAAAGCCACTTAAGAGAAGAACATACGAAACTGCTTTATGCTAAATCACAGCATGGGTTCCTGCTCAGTAATGGAAGACAGCTATTACGGCATCACTCCATTGTTTTTTGTGTCCCAGAATGTGGTAAGTTATTTTCCAATATAGCCTCATCTTACAACCATTCATTAAGTGATTCTTCAAAGTTATGGCCCTGAAAAAAGTGACGTACGACCAGTTTTCACGCTTATGACTGCTGCAGCATCCCCACGGCCACATGATCAAAATTCAGGCACTTGGCCACTGTCATGTATTTATGACAGCTGTACTGCCCTGGGATCATGTGATCATCATTTGTAACCTTCCCAGCCTGCTTCTGAAAAGCAAAGTCAATGGGGAAAGCCAGATTTGCTTAATGACTTCATTATTCACTTAACAATTGCAGTAATTCACTTAACTATGGCAAAAAGGTTGTCAAATGGGGTAAAATTCACTCAACAACTGTCTTGCTTAGCAATGAAAATTTGGGGTGCAATTGTGGTCATAAGTCGAAGGCTATCAGTATTTGTCTTTTGAGCCAGTTGGCCTGTTTCCATCAGTCTTTTGTTGTTATTGCCCTTATTTTGGTTATCATAGTGTTTTTCACACTGTGAGAACTAACTTTCACATCCAGATTAATGTAGCTTGAATGGGCAGTCTAACAGTCTTTGGTGTAATACATCTTAATTAATATTCATACCTGTTCAGGTCACCTGAAGACCCGAAGGTATGTGGTTATAGCTATAAATACTTGCAATAGCAGCACTCTAAAAAAGCAAATGGATTGCATACAAGAGTATTGTAAGAAAAGTCAACCTAAAGAAAAGTAATCTGCAATGTATACTTACTCTCTAACTGATATTTTTTATTATTTGTCTTGATAGGATGCCAATAAATTATGAACAAATAAATAATTAAGAATCACTTGTCAGTGTTTCATACAGCATATTATGAACAGAACGTTGTCATGAGGAAGACAACACATTCCTATATATTAATAAAATATTTACAAGAGTCTGAACATATTCAGGGTCTTTTGAATATGCAATAGTAAATAGAATATAAATTTACAAGACACATTAGTCTTCCCTATTGCATCATTTTATCTTTCTAAGACATTAAAGAACATAAAATAAAAACATAAACAATGATGATGAATTCCACACTTGGAACTTAAAGTTGTTCCTTTAGAATCATATCAGCCAATAAAGTTTGTTTTAAAAAAGAATCATATCATCTTTTCCATCTATGACCTTAGAGACTACAGTGGCACAAATAATAACAAATAATTATTCAAATAAACTTGTCTAAATTTGTCTAAATATTTAAATTTGTCTAAATTTAAATATAAAATGTAATAACAATATTTAGCCTGAATAATACTAGACTTTTAATTTTTTATATTGAATTCTTTGATTTAAATAAAAAGATTCCTTATAGAGTCAGTTACTGAAAGTATTAATTTTATTTAGTCTTGACAAGTGTTTTAGGTACCTGAATGATAATGCTAATAAAGTAAGATTCTGAACAGATATGGACTGTGTTCATAGAAGAAGTTTAAATAAGCAAATTCGATTTCAGGGTGATGTATGCGTATTATCAGCACAAAAGGTCACAAGTACAAAGTACATGATCATAAATATATTTAACGCACATGGTTGAAATGTGTCTGTTGTTCCGCAGCTAAATGTTAATAGCTCTGAGATACAGACATAATAGTAATTAACTGGTATCTTTGGTAAAGAGCTGCATAAAGCATCTTAACATTTTCTACTTCAACGTACTCTGAAAATTTGGCCTAATACTATACTGGATATATAGTGTAGTGTAATACAGTACAGTACAGTGTAGTAATACTATACTGGATGGGTAGCACAACGGCTCAATGGTTAAGATATTGAATTGAGATTCTCAGCAGTTAAGGTGCAGGTTTGAGACCCAAGTGCCACGCGACGGGGTGAGCTGCCATTCTTGCCCCAGCTTCTGCCAACCTAGCAGTTCAAAGCATGCAAATGCGACTAGATAAATAGGAACCACTACAGTGGGAAGGTAACTATCTATCATCATTCTGGTGACATGACTGCGGAAATATCTTTGGACAGCACTGTCTCAAAGGCCTTGAAACGGAGATAAGCACCATCCTCTATAAGCAGCAAGTTCGCTAAAAGATTTATTTTGATTTTTCCCTCTAGAAATATTTTATGCCTAGGAAAAGGAGGCAATCCATGAAAAGAAATTATGCCATACAACTTGTATTTTAAAATAAACAAGTACGACTTAAAATCATAGCATGGATATCTTCTGAACGTTTTCTAGATGAAAGAAGTACTAAGTATGGCTTGGAGCAGTATTTTTCAAACTTAGCAACTTTATGATACTTGGACATCTTAAGGTTGCCAGCTTTTGAAAACTCCAGCTTAGAGGTTGTATGTGTTCTGCCTAAAAAGTATAGGGGGCCAAAAACTACAGTCCCCCCACTTTTGTTTTTTTGGCGGTGTTGGAATGTGGTAGCTTAAAGAACAAAACAAAAGATCTGCTAATGACATACAAATGTTTTTTGGCATCCATTTTACCATGCAACATTCCTGAGCCTCCCTAAATAGGCTTTAGTCCTACTTACTTAGGGACAATTTTAGCCCTTAGCATGCCCCACAGAGCATGATGTGACCAATGATGGAATTCAAGTAATTTAACAACCGGTTCTCTGCCCTAATGATTTCTTCCAACAACCAGTTTGCCAAACTGCTCACAAAGTTAACAATTGGTTCTCCCAAAGTGGTTCGAACTGGCTGAATCCCACCACTGGATGTGACCCTTCAGCCAATGCAAGAACCACACTCCTATTCTAGACTGCAACCACAACCTTTTTAAGAGGAAAAAGGAAGAAATGTAAAGTTAGCACTTTTACAGTGGAGCTGTTTGAATATTATTCATGATTTGCACATTGCAAAAGAATGTGCATCTGCTTCAGATCAGCTGCATCTGAAACATACTTATTGGAAAAGAAGGCAACTGTAGGCCAACACATCAAAAAGGTAGGCTAGAAAAGCTTCCTTTTTTGGGGGGGGGGACCCTCTTAAGAGGTAGCAAACATACATTAAGTGAACAAAACTGGAAATTTCAATTAGTCACCCCTTCTGCACTCCATCATTCTCCCGCTAAGGAAATCACATACTGTATTTTAAAAAGGCCAATGAATAAATAGAATTTTGTCTTTCACCCACAAAGGCTTTTTTAAAAAAAAAGCATTCAAAGAATGTTTAGACACGTCTGTACGGCAAGCTGTGTTAACTTGCCATTTTTGGCACTCCTTTTCTTATTCTTCTGAGAGAATAAAAAATAAAATGTAATGCCACTAGGCTTTCCGAGTCTTTTGCACGTCGGCAAAGACGTCCTGCTAGGAGACGAGAAGGGAAGAAGAAGAAGAAGAAGAAGAAGAAGAAGAAGAAGAAGAAGAGGAGGAGGAGGAGGAGGAGGAGGAGGAGGAGGAGGAGGAGGAGGAGGAGGAGGAGGAGGAGGAGGAGGAGGAGGAAGAAGAAGAAGAAGAAGAAGAAGAAGAAGAAGAAGAAGAAGAAGAAGAAGAAGAAGAAGAAGAAGAAGAAGAAGGGAAAAGTGAAGTCTTTTCCTTTTGAGCGAAGGTAAGAGGCACCGTTTTTAAAATAAGGATGCCTCCCGTAAACTCAACTTTACACTGCCTATACTAGTTCCCCTACTTCGACAGGTGTATGCATAGGGGATCCCCAGGTTTGGCTGCACGCGTGGATTTCGCAAAGCAACCCGCGGCACGAGCAGAGGGGGTTTCTCCTCTCTCCTCCCTTCTGAACCCCAATCCCACAAATTTCGCCCCCACCCCCAGGTGGACAGACTCCCCTCCAGTTCTGCTGAAATAAACTTTTATCTCTCCCCCCCTTCTCCTCAGCCCTCCCCGCCAAGCCCGAGTTAATCGATACCAAGAGTCCAGAGTCCCAGCAAAATGTCTCTTCCTCTTTGCTCCGTCAGCCGCCGCCGCTGCCGCTCCCATCCCGCGCAAGGCCAAACCTTGCAAAAACCCGACACGTCCTCCAACGCCGCGGGGATCGTTTGGCGTGGAGCTCCGAGCGCTTCCAGCTCACCTTGTGCCTGAATTCCCGGGCCAGCTTCCTTTCCATGACAAAGGGAGAGCCGATCTTCCCGCGGCGCTTGCTTCGCCCAACCTGCCGCTTGCGGATGCGGTTTCCTCCGGGTTCTGGAGGAGAGATCAATGAGCAAAACTCTGGACCACCGCTAGAGGGCGCGGCATAGCACCGTGAGAAAAGCCGGCGGACGTCAAGGAAGGTCAAGAGGGAAAGGGGGCGTTTCCCTCGTTCACCTCCTCCTCTGTCCTGACTTTCTTTTTCTTCCAAGCGCTCTAACTTCGCTTTAGTTTCCGAGGCTAGAGATCAACAGACAGCAGCCCTTCTCCAGTTTTCCCTGTCGATCTTGTTTAACACCATGGTAACAAGTCTTTTTGCAAGGCTGAATTTCGGCCACGGGTTGATGACGATGATGCCCATCGGAACAGTGACTTGAAGGAAATGTTTACTTTTTACATTAAAAAGCCAGGCAATAAAATTTCGCTGAAACTTTTAAGACGCACAGGGGAAGGGTGGGGGGAACTCGTATCTGAAAGTAATTTTATTTAGATGCTGAGAGTAGAACGTGGGAAAGGGCAGAGTTTGTCAAAGATTTTGTATGGTGGGGGGTGGGGGAGAGACTTGGTTGCAGGATTTGGGTTGGCCTAGTCTAGAGAAAAGAAGGATTAGGGGTGACATGATAGCAGTGTTCCAATATTTGAGGCGCTGCCACAAAGAAGGGTTTGTTTTTTTTTGTCAAATTATATTCCAAACCAGATGGCAGGACAAGAAACAATGGTTGGAAACTAATCAAAGAGAGAAGCAACCTGGAATTAAGGAGAAACTTTCTAATGGTGAGGACAATCAACCAGTGGAACAGCTTGCCTTCAGAAATTGGGGCGCTTCATCACTGGAGGTTTTTAAGATGAGACTGGACAGCCACATATCTGAAATGGTATAGGCCAGGGTCTCCTGCCAGAGCAGGGGGCTGGACTAGAAGACCTCCAAGGTCACTTCCAGTATTCTATTCTATTCTATTCTATTCTATTCTATTCTATTCTATTCTACTCTACTCTACTCTACTCTACTCTACTCTACTCTACTCTACTCTACTCTACTCTATTCTAATGTTCTCTGCTTCCTCAGCTCTTCCCAAGAATACAATCTTCAGTGTAAAGCTGATATTGGCTCCATAGATTTTTTTTACCTTATTGTCACATAAGCATCTTGGGTCTTCAGGATTTTTGAAACTCTTGTAATATTCTTTGGGTCTGTAAAAATGTTTTGGAATGATAGGATCTGGAGATAGTCATTGAGACTATTGACTCCAACCCCGTGCTCAGTACCGGAAGCCATTCAAAGCATCTGGTGGTTGAGCATCTCTGACAGCTGGCATAGTATACAAATCACCACAGCTTCTTCCTCAACTAAATTATTTTTAGTTTACAGGACCTTCACACTGCACAATCAACCAAGTAAAGCAAAAAATAATATTGGCATTCCCACAACATTCTAGAAACAATTTGTACTCCAAAGGCTTCGAATATTTTCAGCCTTCGCAGAAAGCATGCTCTTAGTCCATAAAAGCCAATGGTGTATAATCTTTGAAGAACTGGGCTTCAACTAGTGAGAGAGATCCAGGTTTGAGTCTTGACATTGGAATTGATCAGTTAGGTTATACAAAATACTGTGCTAAAATAACATAGGATTGGTTAGTTTGTGAATCAATATCCAGCCATTGTCAATATCCAGCCATTGCCTTCACTGCCATTCAATTTAAAGTTTTAAGCAGGTAACAAAGATGTTTTAAAAAATTTGGCTACCCAGAAAGCTGAAAGAGGTCAATTTGAGACCAATTCAGTTATTAGATTAAATTAGATTAAATAAAAGAAAGTGTTAGCTGTATTTGCATGTTTTAAAATAGTGTATTTCTTGCAATTTATTAGTTTGTTAATCTTTTTAGTGGTATTCTGAGTGGGACATATAGAATCTCACTATCTGTAATTTGAGGTAATGTGTTCTTATAACAAACATGTCTGTCTAGATTCACACAGAATGGCAATCTAACCAAAATACTAGCTAGCAGATTCTGGGAGTTGAAGTCCACATATCTTAAAGTTGCCAAGTTTGAAAAATATTGCTTTAGTCTATTAGGTGACTCCAGATTGTATGATCAGTTTATAGTTCAGCCTGTTAACCCCCCCCCCACCTCCCAATAGAATTAATGAAATAAATTATCGCTCAGTTACCCATTGTTTCATTATAGGTATAATGATTAATTGGATTCTGATTTAATATTATATGAACCCAGTCAGCCGAATAAACCACAATTAATAGCTTAGTACCATATGTATACCTAATGTTTTTTTAAAAAGATATAGATGAGACTAAAAAGCCTAAGGAATCATTGTTAATCCTGACTGCTGTTAAAAAGCATAAGAGGATACGGCCTGGTTAATCTTTAGATGAGTGATGATCCAGGAAGTGTCAGAGCTATAGATAAGACTGAAATTGGGGGACAAAAGAGGAAATCTTAGAAATGGCAAACAATTTCTTATTGTCAGGAAAACTACAAGTGTGTGTCCATGATATTACTAGAAATCTGACTTGAAGGAAGAGTTAGATTCTTATGAAAGAGCCCTAGTGGTGCAGTGGTTAAAATGCAGTATTGCAGGCTAATTCTGCTGACTGCCAGCAGTTCAATCCTGACCGGTTCAAGGTTGCCTCAACCTTCCATCCTTCCAAGGCTGGTAAAACGAGGACCCAGATTGTTGGGGGGCAATATGCTGACTCTGTAAATTGCTTAGAGAGGGGCTATAAAGCACTCTGAATTGGTATATAAGTCTAAGTGCTATTGCTACTGCTTATGAAAATTCTTTTGAGATGCTAAATTGCCTTGTAGCTAGACATACCGTGTAGTTAGACATACAATATCAATAATAGTTTATAGTTGGTTTACACATCTACATCATGGCTCATTATGTCACCCAGATCCAGCTGTAGCATTATCATTATCCCTCTTTTTAGGCTTCTGAGTTAAAAAACAACAACCCTGAAACAGTGGCAATATTGGACCAATTTAGCCACATTAGTTCCACACCAGGCCCATTGGGTAAAAAAATGGCTATCTGAAGTCTATGGGAAGTTTTAATGAAACAATAATATCTATACAGCAAGTGGTATCAGCTAACCAGCTTTCTCCAAGGACAGAACAAAATGGTCTAAATGGAGGGAAATCAAAACTAGCCATAATCAGTAACTGGCCTATGAATACTGGCACCAGATTTAATTTAGAGCTTCTTTTGTGTGAATGTGCTCCATCACACTTGATGTCTCAGTTCCCGTTTCAGAGAAGCTATGTATAATTTTAATATGTATTTTTTTACAACTACCGGATCAATGGAAGAAATTAAAATTGTTTCTTTTTCAGGTAACACTTCTATTCCAGAAAACAAAACAAAACAGTGCTTTTCTTATAGTCAGTCTGTGACTTTTTGCTCTCGCTTACCTTGTTGGTTAGCTGTAGCACTTATGTATGTAAAGTAGCTGTTTTTTGTCCCTTCACAGGGACTGAGAGTTTTGACTATTAAGAGAGAATTAGATAATCTAAGATTTGAAAGAAGGTCTTATCCTGAGTATCTTCCAAGGATTGTTTACAGTGTATGAAAACAGTCTAAATTGTTTAATAGTTTGGTTTAATAACAGGCTAGAAAGTGGAAGATGGTGAGTTCTAGTCCTGCCTTAACTATGAAGGTCAGTTGGGTGATTCTGGGTCAGTCACTCTTTCTCAGCCAATTCACCTCACAGGGTTGTTGTTGTTGTGGGAAAAATAGAAGAAAGTGTGTTGGATATGTTCGCCACCCTGAGTTATTTATAAAAATAATAAAGGTGGGAAATAAATAAATAAAATAACGAAAACTGCTGTCTCCTCTAATTATGATTTTCCCATTGGCACATACAACAGAATAAAGTTCTTGCTGAAGATGTCAGTCCCGCTTCATCATTTGTAATGAAATGAACCATTTGTTACAACTGGAAATATAATATACGGGGACTAATTACGAAGAGAGAATGAGATCTTTTAAATTTCTTACTGTTAACAGACTTCCTGGTAACTTAAAAAAAATCCTTTTTATCTGAGACAATTTCTCACCTGACATTGGCAGCTTTTAAAGCTTCTTTTATTTGAGAGTTGAAGGATGAAGTGAGAGAGAGAAAGGATGGCAGATGGCAGAGGGAGGAGAGAGAAAAGGAAAAAGTAGATAAAAGGGCCAAAAAAAGTTAAAAAAGAAAAATTGCAAGAAAGAAAAATGTGATTCAAAGTATTTTTTTCAAATGGATAAGAGGGTTCTGAAATGTCTCAGGATTATACTTTAAAAAAAAAACAAGCTATGGGTGAAAGCTAATATTGACATAGCTTTGAATATTTAGCACATTCAGAACTCTTCAACCAAAACCATTATCTTTTAAACACATTTTAATGAATAATTAATAGTTGCAGCTTCCTTGAAGGATAAGCTTTGAATGTGATTGAAAAATTAGGACCTGTTGTAACGATCACAAGGGAAACGAAATGGCTCAGAATAAATAGAATAGATAATAAATGAAATGAGAACTAGAGAAGTGGAGAAGTGGAGGGATGCTGAATGGAATGTTAGTTCTTTCATTACGTCTAATTTGACATCTAATTTATACAGCTTGGCCTACCTGTTTTTGTATTTAAAAAGTACAAAAAAATATGAAGACTTCTGCTGGCATTGCTACCCTGTGTTTCCATAGTGCTAGGGTCTAGTGAAGCTTAGCTAATTAATTTTAATTAAGCTAATGAATGATTAATGGTTGGCTGAGCTCTTGCAGAAGGAGTGCAAACAGAACTTTGTGATATTTTTTGTAGAGCTGAAGGTTTTTCCCATTTATAAGACCTTCCATTTTGACCTACCTCCTGGGATTTCCCTCTCTTTCTCCTGCCAGCAAAGCTCTGGGCTGCCTTGCCATCATTCCCACAATTATTCCTGTTCCTGTTGCTTCAAGGGTGGCTTTCCTTCATTGCAAAAACAAATGCAATGACAAGGATGACATAATTATTTTTTTATGGGGCTTATTCTGCTTCCCCTTTGAACAACTGGATGAAACACTGGAAGAAAGTGTACAGCAGTGAAGAAAGCAACAGGGCATGGCCAACTCGCTATGGCCAATTCACCATGGCCAACTCGGTGTTGGACAACTCACCATAGTCAACTCATTGCAACTTGCTGCAGCCAACTC